AGCCCGGCGCAGTTCCTGCGTTGAAGTCGTCAGACTGAATATTTAACAATGGGAATACAAAATGGATGGACAAGTACGGCCGCTTACCCAGCTTGGGGGATTGTGCATGGAGAATCCACCCTGAGCGTTGACGCGGAGAAATTCCTCCTCTTCTCCCTTATACAAAGTGGACAAGATCTTTAGTAGAGCGGCAGCTGAATCCGGCCCCTTACGGCCGTAGCGGGTGGCGTCGTCCTCCCCGTTGAAGTCCCACATGGGGTGGCTTCTATACTGAAGCGGCTGCACCCCCTGCATAATGCATTCGGCCATAACCCCAATCATGGTTAGTCCGGAATGGGCTAACAATCTTATTCGGCCCATCAGGTAAATGATGTCCCTGTCACTTTCCCTCTGAGGGCTCCGTGGGCGCCAGCTTAGGCGCTTCTTTAAGGGAGCATTGTTGAATTCAGGGAGGCCGATCCGGACAGGATCCGGTAGCGGGACGTCTTCTATATAAAACCATTCCGAGGGCCAGTCTCCGGACGCCTTCTTTGGGGTTCCGGACAGATATCCGGTCCCAGCGATGCGGCACACTTCGGCTCCGCCCACTTGATACATTGACCCCTTCTTTGAACGGGGCACGAGGCAGAATAGCTCTTTCCACAGCCCGAAATGAGCCTCAACACCCAAGAACAGCTCGTAGAGGGCTACAAAGCCCGCGGTATGCTATATGGAGGCAGGCGTGAGATTATGTAGCTGGAGGCCGTAGAACTCCAGTAGCCCCCGGATAAATGGATGGATTGGAAATCTGAGCCCCCTTATTAAATAAGGGACGAGGCACACCCGTTCTCCTTTGGAGGGATTAGGGGCACTCTCTGCTTGCTCTCCGCCGTTATAGACGGCAAGACCGGCTCGAACCGGGACCATATAGGCCGGGGGGAGAAATCCCTTGGTCTGGAGCGTCACTAACTCGCTATGCGGGATGGAGCATCTCTCCCAATATCCAGGCTTAGGGCTGGAAGGGCGAGGGGAGGAGTTGCGACGGCTGGCCATGGTGGAATGGACCTTTGTCGGATGCACTCTGATGAACACTTGCGAAGGGGAGAAGGTGTGGTTTGGATCCAAATCCTCGTCCCCTTAAATAGGGCAGCTCATTTACGCGGCTAGGGGTGTGGATGTAAAAACACTCAGACTTTTCATATTCGTTTGACACGTGGGAAGCGGCCATTATTGGGCGTAGAAGCCAAGGAGCGCAACATCTACAAGGAACCGGACTTTATTCAACAGGTACACAAAATTTGGGGGAGAACCCACCTTGCAATGTCGAAGACAATCTGCGCGCCGGACTCATCATCATTGAAGCCTGGTTCAGGGGCTACTGAGGGAGTTCTGGATTAGGGGGTGTTCGGATGGACGGACTATACCTTCAGTCGGACTCCTGGACTATGAAGATACAAGATTGAAGACTTCGTACCGTGTCCGGAAGGGACTTTCCTTGGCGTGGAAGGCAAGCTTGGCGATACGGATATGCAGATCTCCTACCATTGTAACCGACTTTGTGTAACCCTAACCCTCTCCGGTGTCTATATAAACCGAAGGGTTTTAGTCCATAGGACAACATACACAACAACAATCATACCATAGGCTAGCTTCTAGGGTTTAGTCTCTCCGATCTCGTGGTAGATCTACTCTTGTACTACCCATATCATCAATATTAATCAAGCAGGACGTAGGGTTTTACCTCCATCGAGAGGGCCCGAACCTGGGTAAAACTTCGTGTCCCTTACCTCCTGTTACCATCCGGCCTAGACGCACAGTTCGGGACCCCCTACTCGAGATCCGCCGGTTTTGACACCGACACTTTCCTCTTCAAGGGAAAACCAACGCAGTGCTCAAGAGGTAGCAGTGTTTAGATTGGATCTGGTGGTTCTAGACTCTGCGGCGGCTGGATAAGCCAACTCGCTCCCACGAGGCTCCCCCAATTTGAAGCACCGTTGGCCGTCGGATTTGTATTCCAGCGTGTCCGAGCCATCAGATCTTCATGGCAGTTAAAACTAATTTTCATCTGGCGGTAGTTTTCATTGTCCATTGACGGGTGGGCTCACGCGGCATGCTGGTTGGCTGGGCCACCTGTTTCCGCGTGCAGAGCGTTTTGCCCAATCTGCACCGCGCGCTCCGCACCCAATCCCCCCTCTCCCCAGGCCCCAGCCCCCACCAGACAAACCCTAGCCTCACCAAGCCCCACATCTCGCGCTCCTCCCTCCTCCGTCCTCGTTAGCCGCCGCCGTCGTTCTGCCTCCCTCCTCTCTCTCCTACAACCACGCCGCCAAGAGGAAGCCGTCATTCGTGGCGCCATGCCGCTGCCGGGGTGTTGCACACGCATCGTTCCCCATAGCCCCTCCCTCATCCTCGCTCGTCACCACCGCTGCCTGCTACTCCCCTCCACCATGGTTGGTGCTTCTGGGTTGAATCTGGCGTTGGTGGGTCGGAACTCGAGATAGAGGTCGAGACGGGGAAGGTCAGAAAAATGAGAGACCGGATGGAGGTGCTCGAGATAGAGGAAGCTGGAGATGGTGGGATCCCTCTCCCCATATCTATTCTCTTAGTTTTTCCTCTTCAAACCTTCATTGATGGTCTACCTCCCTCAACACAATTATCTTCATTGTCCATCCGGTGGTTGGAGCACGGGGCAACGCTCTGGTCGCGATGGGGTTGAGCTGCGCAGGAGGGGGAGGAGGCTGGCGACAGGGAACCGGGCCAGGGAGGAGGCAAGGTATGTGTTGTCCCGTGTCTTTTCTCTTCGCGTTTTTCTTATACCATGTGTCTGTTTGTTTCCAGAGTGGATCCATGCCACCAAATTCTTGGATAAATAATGAGTGCCTAGGTATGTATGCTGACATGTGAGTTAATTTTTTGGAAAAAATATAATCATATATGTATTGCCAACAATTTTTATGTTTAAAGCAACCAATTTTGTGAAAAGAGTGGAGAGAAAGATACATGTGCAATTTCTTGATGTTACAGCGGATGGATACTCGATCTTTAAACATAAGCATAGATGAATAGGTACAAATTCGAGGAAAGGCCAATGAAATAGTTGTCTATACACATATGTGCCAGTTTTATACCTGGTTGTCTGGTTGCATTATTTATCCGGTTTCAATTCAGTTTGAGTAGATTGTTATCCGTGAGCGATACTTGCTACTATTTGTCGCCATGCACCAATTTGCATACCTATTTTAGGCACAGAAACCAACCATGACTGAAAATCTTGTATATATAATATACTATGATTCATGGTGAGAAAATCATGATTTAATAAACGAAAGGTGGTTTGTTTTGCTAACAGTAATGAGTATAAATGTAAATCGCAGATCATACGCTGCTGCTACGGGCTCCATGTTGTTTATGCTAGACAACACAATGGTGCTTGTGTTATCTGTAGTTGAAGTCACAGTTTAATATTCTTTGCTTTATGCTTGTGTTATATGTGGTTGAAGGGACATCCTTGTTAGTTTGCATGGTCTATGTAAGAAGGGGCAGTACAATGCTTGTCAAGTTTGTTTATATTCTGATGGATGTTGAATTCTGGACAATGGAGACATGAATTTGTTACGTACATAAGTATTAGCCATAGGATACTTTACTCATTGACGACAGGTAGTTTTAGAGAACTTCTGAAAATTCCAATCCGGGTTTTCTGTGTTCCATTCAGGAAGAACGCACAGTCTGCACTGGGGTATAAAATTATCTAGTACTTACCTTTGTGTCTCGACATATGCTTGTGATGCATCGTGCTACCAGAGGCCAACATTATCCAGTATCATAGCGATGCTAAAAATGCCTATTGGCTACTCCACATATTCTCATCTAATTTCTCATATATAGATATTAATTTCCTTTCATGGGAGGCCTTCATTACATTTCAGCGGCAGTTGCGGATGTGGTCGGTGGTTGAGGGAGGGTCTCCGACTAGAGCAGCAGGAGCAAGGAGCTCGAGGAAGTTCAGGTTTGCCTCTACATCCTCTCTCTTTCCTCCACTTTGTTCTTGCATTTAGATGATACAATTTGTGATCATGTGTATGTGCATTTATGAGATCTTTGCTGCTAGGCACAGAGTTTATGGTTACTGAAATTGGATAATAGAGTCACAGCTTTAGTTTTCAATTATAGTATGTGTTATGTTTGCTACAATGTGTCATGTGTGTTTGAGAGAGAGGGATGAAAAAGAGGGGACTGGAAGCTTGATCATTGCTAGGATCTAGATTCAGAGAGAGGGATGAAAAAGAAGGGACATGGATCCAGAGAGGGATAAAAAGAGGGGACTGAAAGATCTTGCATTGTGTTTCTTCATCTACCAATACGATTTTGTGTACCATTTGAACATAACCAAGCAGTATAACAAAATGTGCTGGTAATATCCCTTTCTTATTTTGTAATTGGACAAATATTTGCACATGTGCCACGTCTATGCAGTCTTTCTAACTGATGCAGTTTCTAGGTTTATGGCTTCTCACGGATTGTGATTCTGGTCATGCTACCTGTTATGAAGGTAAAAACAAAGTTATATGTTTCTTCGGTTTAGTTTGGTCTGCATTTATCCCAGAGAGCGAGTGTTCACAGGTCCAATGCTTATGTCATTATTAATTAGTCTGGATTATGTTCTCGTGTAGAATATTTTGTTCAGTTTGGTCCGCATTTGTCCCATAGAGTGAGTGTTCACACGTTGATTGCTTATGTCAGTTATTAATTAGTCAAGATTCTGGTCTAATGTACTCCCTCCGTTCCTAAATATTTGTCTTTCCAAACATTTCAAACAGACTACAACATACGGATGTATGTAGACATATTTTAGAGTGTAGATTCACTCATTTTGCTTCGTATGTAGTCACTTGTTGAAATCTCTAGAAAGATAAATATTTGGGAACGGAGGGAGTAGAATATTCAGTTTAGTTGGTCCACATTTGTTCCAGAGAGCGAGAGTTACTGATAAAATATTTATCTGGCTTAAATTAAATTTTATGGATTTACAGGCTGAGGCGAGCATCATGGAGATGAGCAGGCGAGTGGCTGATACAGAGAGCTCCTCGAACAGGGAAGAGGCATTGCTGGAGGAACTCGAAGATGAGCTAGTCAATTTTGGCATGTCCAGTTCATGTAACCTTTGCATCTTTACATGTCTTTGCCTTACTGCCATTTTATTTTTGCTGCTTTGGGATTAGGTTCCGAAGTCATGCCTTTGCCTTGCTATTGTGCTGATATTGGATGCAACATTGTGGACCTTTGGTTCGAGCATGGCCAGCATGGCCACGGATTGTAGGGGAGGAATGTATTGCCTAATGAGTTGTATGCTTTCTTCGGATCCTCTGTGCTTCCTATCACATCTATCTTGGCCACCTACAAATTCTTGGGTCCAGGTGAGCTCTCCCTCCACTCTCCAAGTTTTGCTTGATCTTTCTGGGCTATTTGTGTAGGCTAGCCCCTTTCCTAAGTCTCTTATTTTATTATGGATCATGGAAGCAGGAAGTGTAACTCACATTTTTAGAACACTGATCCTTTAGGTATATATAGTTTGGTTTTCTGAAAGTGGATTGCATTTGCTTCCTGATCACATTGAAACAAGAGTGGAAACAACCATCGTCCGCCGTCCGTTATTCCTCCCTTAGGTTCCTGATCTGAAGCGGAGGGAACACGAGGTCACATCCACAAAGTGGCGGAAGGGGGCTGCAACGTTTTTCTTCAGTCTGATAATCATATAGTAATTAGACGGTGTAGTACTATGGCGGTGGTATACTGATTTGGTGTAAGAATCACTAACATGACTTTACTTGTACAAATCTTACAGGTTAATGGTATTAAGAATTAGTAGCGTGTTTTTTTGTTTACTGCTGGATTTGCTAACAAGTTGTCTCTTGTGTTGTTGTTGATATGTTGACTTGCTATTTTTTGTTCAGTTGAAGGGTTCTCCAGGCTTAAGATCTTTCTAGGATAATTGCGTCATTGAATCTGAAGATATTTGATTGGTTTCTCAACTCATGTATCGATAAGCATTTTTTCATCCTCAATATATTGTTACTTACCTAACTTGTCGTACATTTGTGAGGTTTCTAAGGAAGTTCACTTCTTGCACGCGGCGTATAACTTGAGTTGCCTACAAATGATTTTGCCAGTTCGACGAAAACTTAAAATAACCAAGGGAAATTTCTCAGTTTTGTTGTTCTTGCTCTTCTTAGATCTTAGGTTGGGGGTATTAACATATATGCCACACACTAAGTTTAGGTCTTAGTGTGAGATTAAATAGGGATAAATCCTTGTGCCATGTTGAAGAATTAGAATTACAAAAAAGAAAGGAAATATTAAAGAAGGGATATGGTTGATTAGGTTATTTTGGTGTTTCTTTGTAAATAATGACATGCTAACTTGCTGGTTTAATTTAGGTGTGTGGAATATAGGAAATACAAGGAGAGATATTCAGTTGCAATCCAGCTTTATTTTCAAAGTGAAACATGGTATACATGCATAGCATGCTGGTCTTTTACTCTATAGTTGTGTGTCGCCATGGTGTCGACTTTGAACTTGCAAACTGAACTGTAAAATGTTTTAATGCCTTGGCGCATGAAGTTTTCTTTGCCTGCTCTGACTACTTCATTTATGTTTATTTATCAGGTTATGCAATCTCCTGTGTTGCTGCATGTTGATCTTCTGTTTTGTTGTAACTCTGTTTTGCTGCTCGAGGTTTGCTTCCTTTCTTTCCAGCTACATGTGTATTCTTTGAATTCAAGCTACATGCATGTTTACATTTTGCTCACGGAATAGTTTAGTTATATTGAACAGGAGCATCTCTATTATTAGAGACATACTAGGCTCGTGCTTCTTCACAGTGGCCATCTCTTTTTTTGTGAGAAGTGTGCCTTATGGCTTATTCTTATATATTCAGTTCTTCTGCCTTTCAACAGTCAATTACCAAGACATTTTTATGGAGCCGATAGTGTTACTTCTGGTGGTCAGTGATAACTGAAAATATTTTTCATTATCATTGCTTGCTATGTAGCCATTTTTTTAGCTTTGCTTCGATGTGTTTTTTTCTATGGAGTCTCTGCTACCCTACAACATCAAGATGAAAACTAAGCATGTGAGTTTCTTGGAGCAGCCCTACACGTGGTTGTCGTGCCTTTTTCCCTTGTTCTTTTGAAATGCAACATGATAGTAGCCAATGTCATATATCAGGGTTGTAAACCTATTAGATTTGGGACAGAGGAAAGTATGAAGATCTTCTTATTATTGCAAAGTAAAAGTTGATATTAGTGCCAACTTAGGTGATCTGGTCCGAAGGGGTATCTCAGCTTTATGAGTTGATAGTATATTTGCATCTAAGAATAAACCTTAGCTTTTAGATAGAATTTATGATTGAAAGTATTTTGGTGTATACCATCCTTTGTGCAGGATTGTCATGGTTATTGTGGTTGTCAATTTTGTTGACAAAATAGATCCAAATGATATCTTTTTCGATGTCTTATGGTAGATATATTTGGTCTGCTGTTTCATGCATTCTTCGGATTTATGATTAATATTCCCAGATATTTGAACAAAATTTAGCTATTAAATATACATCCCAGGAAATTTACATTATTACAGCGGGGCACTCCTTTGCACGGTTTTCAGTATAAGAGATTTAACCTTTTTTGCAGTATCATTCTCCCTGGCGGATTACATGTAGGTTGTTGTTCTAATTACAAGCATGCCTTTAGCTCATGGTTCTTATATTTTTGTATTTTCCATAGGACAATTTCCTGGATTAATATCTATACTGGAGATCTAGGAGTCCACCCAAATTCAGTCTCCAAGAAGCCGTTCATCCAGGATCCACCAAAATTCAAATGATATGTGAAAAGTGTGTGCTAGATGTGGCCCCTATCCAGCGTTTTGATTTGTCCACTCAGGTGCTTTTGTCTAGGTGGTAACACAACAAGTTGCTTATCTTATAGAAACTTATTATACATACAGTCCTATGTTCGTTCTGCTTGCATGTTAGAGAAAGAGCTTCTGCCCCTATGTGAGTAATCCTATGGGAATTAGCAATGTTGGTTGTACTTTCAAGCGGGCTGAATCCAATGCAAGTTTTTGGAGCAGTTGGGTTCCAGAACAAACGACTAGGTATTCCCAAAGAGGTCATTCCACTGGTGGCTAGCATAATACCTTCATGTCGGGACAAGTAAGATGACAGATCGTTTCTCAAATATTATGTCGTTGTTCTCAATTTTTATTTTCTCTTCTTTTCTGCTACTTGCCTCACTAACTATGACCTCAACGATCTTTGGTGCAGCGATCCAAGCAAGCAACCATCATTCTACCAGCTCTTGTCATCGTTGAAGAAATTACAGTGGTTACATTGTTACAGAAAGCCTATGACAATTTGCGAGTGTTGTTTGTGCAATATATTGGTTTTATGGGAGGTGCATGTATGAATTCAGATGGTAGTGGTCTCCTTGTTTACAGTTATAAGAATAATAAAAATATTGATAATGGCCTTTCCACTATTACAATCTCATAGATTACATTACCTGTTTCCATTAGAAAGGAACCGTGGCTCATGGGTTTACTGGATGATCTTTTTGATGGACATTTTAAAAATAGCATGGTTTAACACATGTGATTTTTATTACGAGTATCGAATATGTCCTTGCAAAATGAAACTATTTTCATCGACAACATGGCTTTAGCGGGTCTTTGCGCCATTTGGCGCAACGGGTCAACTAGTTTATAAAGCAAAGAGGCGGTCCGGGAGGCACCCGAGGTGGGCACAACCCACCAGGGTGCGCCTGGGCCTCCTGGCACACCCTGGTGGGTTGTCCCCTCCTCGGAACTCCCCCCAGGTGCAACCAGGTCCAAACATCTTTCTTCTGGTCCATAAAAAATCTTCGTAAAGTTTTGTGGCATTTGGACCCCGTTTGATATTGATTTTCTGCGCTGTAAAAAAACATGGGAAAAACAGCAGCTGGCACTTGGCACTATGTCAATAGGTTAGTACCAGAAAATGATATAAAATGACTATAAAATGATTATAAAACATCCAAGATTGATAATAAAACAGCATGGAACAATAAAAAATTATAGATACGTTGGAGACGTATCAGCATCCCCAAGCTTAACTCCTACTCGTCCTCGAGTAGGTAAGTGATAAAAACAGAATTTTTGATGTGGAGTGTTGTTCATCATGTCATACCATATTCTTTTCTTTATAGCATGGACATTTGGACTTTTACGTGATTCAAAGAAATAATCTAGTTTTGACATAATAATTTAGATACTCAAGCATATCAACAAGCAACCATGTCTTTTAAAATATCAACGCTAAAATAAGTTATCCCTAGCCCATCATGCTCAAACATTGATCCATTCATGAAACACACTCAAATATTAACTACACCCAATACTTAAGCACGATCATATTACCTCCTAGTTGGTGATTTTATAAGAGAAGATGGAGACTCAAAATAAAAAAAAAATTGCATAAAGTAAAGATAGGCCCTTCGTAGAGGGAAGTAGGGATTTGTAAAGGTGCCAGAGCTCAAAGCAAAAAAATTGAGATAAAAACATTTTGGGAGGTGTATCTATCCCACCAACGAAAACGACTTAGAGTTCCCAATACTTTCCATGCATAGATATATCATAGGCGGTTCCCAAAAATAAAATAAAGTGTATTCCTTTTTCTACCATAACTTTCACTTTCCATGGCTAGCCGTATCCACGGTTGCCCTCCATACCAACACTTTCCAAGGAATGTATTATTTGACAACATAAAGTAAATTCATTTGTTTTTGCATTTCGGGACTGGGCATCCCTAATACCTTTGCCTTACTCTTGTGCAATGACAAGTGAATAAACACTCTTCCTGAGAATAACACATCTAGCATGGAAAATGTTAGCCACCCCTCACCGCTCCGCGAGCGAAACAAACACACAAAAGAGAAGTTTATTTTGAAAATTAGAGATGGTACATGCAAATTTGCTTAGAACGGCAAAAGAATACCGCATATAGGTAGATATAGTGGACTCATGTGGCAAAACTGGTTTAAAGGATTTTGGATGCACAAGTAGAGGTCATACTTAGTGCAAAATGAAGGCTAGCAAAATATTGAGAAGCAACCAACCAAGAAACGAATAATCTCATAAGCAAGCATTAAGAATAATTAACACCGAATAATGCACCACAAGTAGGATATAATTTCATTGCATGATTATTGACTTTTGTGCATGCATAGGGAATCACAAACCTTAACACCAATATTATTACTAAAGCATAATTACTCATCAAGATGACTCACATATCACATCATCATGTCTCAAAACTATTACTAAGAATCAAGCTTATTTTGTCCAATGATCTTCATGACATTTTTCTCTCTTTTTTTCTTTATCCTTCTTGGATATCTATCACTTTGGGACTAATTTTCATGTGTTGCTTTTCATAATCTCAAACAAATATAAGTGAAGATCATGAGCATAACAAATTTTCTTTTTCTCAAAATAATTTAAGTGAAGCAAGAGGGAATTTCTTCAAAATTTTACCAACTCTAAAATAAATCTAAGTGAAGCAAGAGAGCATTTCTTCAAAATTAACAAAGCACACCGTGCACAAAAAGATGTAAGTGAAGCACTAGAGCAAGTCCATTGCTCATAAAAAATTAATTGAAGCATAGAGAGCAATTCTAACAAGTCAAGATATACTTTTGACTCTCTCAAATAGGTGTGTCTAGCTGATGACTTAAAACACAAAATAAACCAAGCAAAGACACATATCATACAAGACGCTCCAAGCAAAACACATATCATATGACGAATAAAAATATAGTCTCGAATAAAATACCGATAGTTGTTGGAAGAAAGCGGGGATGCCACTCGGGGGCATCCCCAAGCTTAGTTGGTTTCTCATTCTTGGATAATAGCTTGGGATGCCAGGGCATCCCCAAGCTTAGGCTCTTACATCCTTCCTTCATCCATCATAAGATAACCCAAAACTTGAAAACCTCAATCACACAAAACTCAACAAAACCTTCATGAGATCCGTTAGTATAAGAATAATAAATCACTACTATAAGTGTTGTATCAAACCAATTCATATTTTGTTTTTGTATTATATCTATTGTATTCCAACTTTTCTATGGCAAAATCCCATCAAAGAAAACCATAGAGCCATCAAAATAAGCACACAGCACAAAAGAAAACAGAATCTGTCAAAATAGAACAGTCTGTAGCAATCTGACTATTTCGAATACTTCTGTAGCTCAAAAAACTCTGAAACATTAGGACGTCCTGAGAAATTTGTATATTGGTCTAGTGAAATTGGAGTGGGTATTTTATCGCTCTCTGGTAAAAAACTAAAATTAATTTCATCAGCGCAAAACTTTCTGTTTTTCAGCAAGATCAAACAACTATTGCCCAAGAAGATCCTAAAGGCTTTACTTGGCACGAACACTAATTAAGACACAAAAACACAATCATAACGGTAGCATAATTGTGCTAACACTCAAAAACAGGAAGAAAAAGCAAAAATATATTTTATTCATTGGGTTGCCTCCCAACAAGCGCTATAGTTTTACGTCCTTAGCTAGGCATAAAGCAAGGATCTAAATTTTGTCATCTTTGGTTCGAGATCCATAAGATGCCTTCATGATTGATTCATAGGGTGGCTTAATTGTAGTTCTAGGAAAGTATTCCATACCCTTCCTCAAAGGAAATTGGAACTTAATATTGCCTTCTTTCATATCAATCACAGCACCGATAGTGCGTAAAAATGGTCTACCAAGAATAATTGGACAAGACGGATTGCAATCAATATCAAGAACAATAAAATCTATGGGCACATAATTTATATTTGCAAGAATAAGAACATCATTAATTCTTCCCATAAGCTTTTTAATAGTAGAATCCGCCAAGTGCAAATTCAAAGAACATTCTTCAAGATTAGTAAGACCAAGCACATCACATAAAGATTTCAGAATTGTAGAAACACTAGCACCCAAGTCACACAAAGCAAAACACTCATAATTTTTAATCTTGACTTTGATAGTAGGTTCCCATTCATCATGCAATTTTCTAGTAATTGAAACTTCTAATTCCAATTTTTCTTCAAGAGCTTTCATCATAGCATCAATAATATGTTTAGTAAAAGCTTTGTTTTTTTCATAAGCATGGGGTGAATTTATCATGGATTGCAACAAAGAAATACAATCAATCAAAGAGCAACTATCATAATTAAAGTCATTGTAATCCAAAAGAGTGGGTGCATCACTAGCTAAAGTTTTGACCTCTCCAAACCCACTTTCATCATTCTTCTCAACAAGATTTTCACCCTCCGAAATATTGGGACGCCTTCTACCTAAAGTTGACTCTTCTCCAGTCCCTTTTTCATCAATATTAACTTTACTAAACAAGGAATCAATAGAAGAAACACCAATCATTTTAAGATCTTCATCACTTTTATCTTCTAGCGAGATTGGTTTAGCAACCATTTGATTTACTAAGGTAGCTTGTGCATCGGATATTTTTCCTAGCAAACTTTCAGCAAAAGCATACTTAGATTGAAGATTACAAACTTCTCTACTAATATCATCAAGTTGTTTTGTGATAGCATCTAGCACAACGGAATGTTCCTTAAGTTCTTCAGTAAAGTACTTATTATGCTCAAATTGTGTAGTCATATATTCCTTAGTACTTTTCTCAATTTCAAGCAAAATATTTGGGTAAGGAACATCATAATATTTTCTTTGAGGTATCATGATTTCGCAAACAAGAAAGCAAACAAAAACGGATCCGGCAAGAAAACGGCGAACAGAAAAAGAGAGGCAAATCTTTGTGAAGTGGGGGAGAGGAAAACAAGAGGCAAATGGCAAATAATGTAAATTGCGAGGAGGCGAGATTTGTGATTAGGAACCTGGTTATGATGAAAATCCTCCCCGGCAACAGCGCCAGAAATTCCTTTTGATGTCGCTTGAAGCTACGTCAGTTTTTTCCCCAAAGAGGAAGGGATGATGCAGCACAGCGGTCGAACCAGTAGGAGAACCAAGCAACATAACATAAACAACCCCTGCACACAAATAACAACCACTCGCAACCGGACGTGTTAAAGGGGTTGTCAATCCCTTTCGAGTAACGGCCCCAGAAATGGCACGAGGACAGGAGAAAGATGTAAATACTGATTGATTGAATGCCAAATAAAATAAATTGCAGCAAGGTATTTTTTGGTTTTTTGGTTTAATAGATCTGAAAATAAAAGCAAGAGAAAAATAGATCACAAAGGCAAATATATGAGAAAGAAGACATGGGGGCCTTAGGTTTGACTAGTGGCTTCTCTCGAGAAAAATAGCAAACGATGGGTAAACAAATTACTGTTGGGCAATTGATAGAACCTCAAATAATTATGACGATATCCAGGCAATGATCATTACATAGGAATCACGTCCAA